TGGTCACTCTGAGAACTCCTTTGGTGCTCACGTCCTTTCACCAGGTCACAGGAGGCTCTCTGGTGGTGAGGTTCTTCCTGGCAGAAGGGGCAGAGTGGGCCTGGGATGCTTGGGAAGTGCTGCTGGGCAGCAGCCCAAGACCCCCTGAGAAGGTTTTCAGGAGTGGGTGCAGGTGGGGTGGCACAGCCCATGCCATCCTCTGGCTAGGGAATCTGAGGACAGTTGAGGCGCCTCTGGAGGGGCCCAGGCTTGCTCCCTGGCCTCGCCCAGGCCATCCAGGCCCTGGAGCCCCTGCACCAGGGGCCCATGCTGCCATTTGTCAGTGCTGGCTCTGAGAAGGGGTGATCAGCTTCCTGTTTCAGTGAGGATAGTTTTAGCACCACGTGGCTCCGACTCCGTACGACGGTCACATGGCAGCGTGGATGTCAAGATAAATTGAGTTTGGAATTTCCAGGCCGGCACAGGAGGGGCAGCTTTCATGGTCCACGGTGCTGTCAGGGGCACCTAGTTGCCACGGGCTCTGGAGACTGAGCCAGGGGCCCTCATGTGTCGGGGACCTGCCTAGTCTCTCACCGCTCTCCAGAGGTCTGAGGCTGGCGGGGGGGGACTGGGGCGGCTGGACACCCCAGCCCCCGGTCCTCTCTGTGGCCAGGGCCCTCCGACCACCCCTGGTCCCCTTCCCTCAGCCGGCAGGGTGGGGCCAGCACAGACAGGAAGGACCCCAGACAGTCCTGAGCTCGGAGGGCTGTGGGGTGCAGCACAGATGGGGCTGGCCCTCCCCTCCTCGACCACTACACACAGCCCTTCAGGCCGGGCGCCTGGGCCGTGGGGTCTGGCACTGGGTCATGGGTGCTCAGATGCTGCAGAGGAGGCAGGTGTTGCTGCACCCCCGCACCCTGCTGCAGTTAGGGGCTGAGTGTTCCCCAGGCTCGTGGATTGAGCCTGGTCCCCTGGGGACGCTATGGAGGAGGCCCGGGGGCGAGGGTCATGGGGTATACCTTGGAGGGGCCCACGGGCCTCGTCTTTCCTGGTTTCTCCGCTCCTGGCAGAGACCTGAGCACTTTGCTCCCATGCATCCTGTCGAGATGCGCTGCTCCCCGGGGCCTTCGGCCGGAGGAGACCTCCTGGGCACTGTGCCCTGAACGGTGGAAGCTGTGAGCCTTGCTCTGTGAGCAGCTGCCGCCAGTAGTCACAGGCAGCTCGTACGCAGGGAGAAGCAGCAGCCTTGGGGGCCCTGGGGCTGATGGCTCAGACCAAAACTGTTGTATGGGAGCAGGCTCCGTACCTGCTCCAGTCTGGGCTGCAGAGACCGGGAGTGGCAGCCCTCCGGTCTGGGGCAATTGGCAGGCCTGAAGTGCAGGAACTGCCAGGTGCAGGGTGCAGAGGAGGGCACAGGGAGCTAGGCCTGGCCAGCATGCGGTGCCTGCTCTCTGTGCGGCTGCGGAGAGAACAGAGGGAACGTGCAGGAGCCGGATGTGCTGGCTGGAAAATCACATCAGCCTCATGCCCAGCCTCGCCAGCCAGGAAAGGGTCGCCCAAGAGTGGGGACTTCAGAGGGCAGTGTGGCCTGTCCAGGAGACCCCGGTGTCCAGGGCAGAGGACAACGTGCCTGGAACAGGCCCCTGGGATGAAGCTAGATGCACAGTCCCTCTGGGGGGCAGGGCTGGGCCAGGCTGGACCTCAGAACCAGAACCGCCTGGGCCGTAGCTGCTGTGTGCTGCTCTTCCCCCGCCTCCTGCAGGTGGGTCCGTGACTGTGATCTCCGCCCTCTGCCCCACATCCATGCCATGGAAGGGACACACGGAGGGGTGGCCTGACTGGGACAGAGGGCCCAGGCTGGAGCCTGGTGCTGAGCAGGATGGGGGTCCCGGGAGGCTGCAGAGGGTGAGGACTTTTCATCTTGCACCTGGCCTGAGGGCAACTGAGATGGTTTTAAAGCATGGTGCCTGCATCTCTGTTGCTCCTGCGTGAGCTCTGCAGCTGGCCAGTCAGCAGGAATGGGCCAGCTGGTGTCCACTCCTGATCTGGGATTAGCCACTGGGTCCTGAGGTTGGCGAGGAGGACTCCGGGCCTGCAGGATGCAGATTCACGGGAAAGGACGTGGCCGCACAGCCCGGCTGTTGGTGAGGTCTGTGACACAGCCCACTGTGATGGGGTCAGAGCGGTCCCGCACGGCCCCCACACAGCGCCCGGGGGTGGGGCGCAAAGCAGTGAGGACAGCACCCGTCCTGGAGGGCGAGCAAGCTGGGCTAGAGGTTCCCGCGCTCCAGCTCCTTCTATCCCAGGCAGTGCCCTGTGATCTTGCGGGCCTCTCCCAGACAGGGTAACAGGCTGGGAACCACCCCGGGAGAGAGCTCCAGGTGGAGCTTTGAGCACGCGAGCTGGGGGGCTTCGATGAGCCTCATGCCCAGAGGGGTAGGAGAGCCCAGGCCACAGTGCAAGGCAGCTGGCCCAGGTCTCTGGCCCTCAGCCCGACCGCCCTCCATCCTGCTGGCAGCACCTCCCTCCTCGGGCTCACAGATGTCTGGGGTCTTGGGCGGTGCAGGCCCAGGTGCGGTCTGGTCCCCCAGCCTGGGGCTATGGCAAGGGCAGCTCCTGCTCCTCTGTCTGCCCAGCCCAGCAGTGCAGGAGGCCAAGGCCTTGAGCTGCTGCCCTCAAGGCCACGCCGGAGGTCAGCGAGACACTGCGCTGTGGGAGGGGGCTGTGGCCTTGGGATTTCGGGGAGGGAGGGACAGCATGGCCTCATTGTGCTGCCAGGCATGTACCCCGTGGACGGAGCTGTGGCTCTGAGGGCAGGCACTGCCACCCCCTTCCCTCTGCCTGGAGCCCACAGGGCCGGGAGCGGCCATGGTCCCTGTGGCCCGCACATGGCTGTGGACAGGTGATGAGGGCGGGGCTCAGTGTGCCATGACCTCCAAGTCTGCAGGTCCCACGGGCTTGAGGGGACACTTTGGGGAACCCCGACTTCCACACCCCAGGGTAACAAGGAATGGCGCCTTCCCTGGCACCCACTGAAGCTGTGCTGAGGCAGCCTCTGGGTGCTTCCCCCCTGGTTCTTCCTGCTGAGGCAGCGGCGTCTGCACACTTTTCTGGGTGAGGCCTTGTGGGACCAGCGGGCCGCGTTCAGCGGCGGAGTCTCTCGAGATTGTGCAAGTCAGTTCCCCAGGGAGGACGCGCCCACTCCAAAGAAGCCTCAGCCGTGCCAGCCAGCAGCCACCTGTGTCCACTCTGCCCACTGCACTCTCCTGACCCAGGGGACGGCCAGTCCCCAAGCTGTGTCCCCTCACAGCCTGCCCACCTGCACGGCTTCACTCCCGCCCCACCTCCTGGGGAGGTTTGGCTGCTGGGGGACCTACAGCCAGGGACTCTGTAAGTCCGACTTCCTGTCCACTCTGCCAGCTTGGGGGACCTTGGACTCTGGATGGGAGAGAGGCCTGCTGAGGACCTTACCTGGGGAGGAAGTGTTTGTGGACAGTGAGTGCTGTCTGCCCGTGGGGCTGGGAGTCCATCCCAGCTGCCCCTTGGCTCCAGAAGGACATGCACCCTTTACAGAAGCTGCCAGGGACCTCAGGGGCAGGATGTGTGCAGCTGGTGTGTCCTGGGCCTTCGTGGGTGTTCGAGGGAGGGCACCTGCCCACACGTGACCCATGTGCAGGTCTGCATGCAAGGCAGTGTGTACACAACTTGCAGCGTGTGTGTACGTGTGTGCAGTGTGCATGTGTCTGCTGGTGCATAGGGCCTTGTGTGTGTTCGCATGTGGCAGTCCCTAGGCCTGTGCACGTGTGGATGGCTTGGAGGCCCCAAGGGCGCGAGTCTGCCTGCTGGCTGGAGGCTTAGGCAATGGTGGGCAATGGCTCCCCTGCATGGGTGGATGCTGCCACCTGGTGGCCAGGACGGGCAGTCCCTTGAGGGTCTCTGGGGTGGTGGGAGGGGGCAGGGCTCACCATTGGGTCCCCAGGCAGGGCCCAGGTGGTGTGGGGCAGTGATGCTGAGGCTGCTAGAGAGGGTGTGGAAGGGGAGGGAACTAGCCGGCTGGGACACGTGACAGGAGCATCTGAGGATCTGCGGGACCAGCTGGTTGGGCCCCCAGGGCTCCGCTCCAAATCTACCAGGTCTTCCAGACCTTCCTATTCCACTCTCCAGCCCCTAACGTCCTGCTGGGGAGCGCTAGGAACCCCAGCTGGAGGCCAAAGCCGCAGTCACCCCCACCCCCAGAAGCACCCTGAGACCCAGAGCACTGCCTGGGCCCCTGCAGGAGTAGATGGGGTGGCTGGGGCAGACAGCCACGACCCCATTCACCGAGGCCCCTCATGGGCAGGAGCCTGCGGCCAGCAAAGACTGCAGACCGAGGCTGAGACCTGCGGAGGGGTGGACGCTGGCCGGCTGGGATGGGGCCCCCATGCAGAGGGGACGGCCAGACAAAAGCCTGGCGGGCCGGAGGCGACCTGTGGGTGTTGTCCCAGGAAAGAGGCCACCCTGGGGTTGGCCACAGGGCCACAGCCTGCTGTCTCCCGAGGAGGGGGGTGAGGCCGGGGCTGTGGGGTGCTCGTCCAGGACGAGGAGGGCGTCAGGGTCTCCCCTGGCCACCCCTGCTGGAGGCTGCTTGTCCCTGACCCTGGGGTCTCGGGCTGTTCAGGACAAGGGCCGAGGGCTGGCACCCGGGTGGGCCTGCCGGTCCTTCCCGACAGTCCGTCTCATCCCCTCTGCTCCCTGAAGACCCCTGCAGAACCAGAGGCCATGGGGGGGGGTCCCTGCTGGGCTCCTGTGGCCATCAAGACTCCTTTCTGCCCAGGCCTGTTTCCCACCTGTAAACAGGGGAGACCCCAGTGTGGGCTCTCGGAGGGTCCAGCCTTCCCTGTGCCTGTGTCCCCACAGCCCTGCCCTGCATGTGGCACGCAGTGGCCCCGAGGAGACACAAGTGAACACTTTCTGGGCCACGTTCTGGGGCTGCAGTGAGCAGCAGGCGCAAGGACAGAGGCCACAGAACCCGGGGTTTGTGTGAAAATAGTGGGAATATATTTGGAAAGATGAGCTGGTGGTGATCTTTGCAGCACAGCCCGAGAGGCCCTCTGCCTGTCTTCCACCTCGAGGAAGAGGCTTTCTGAGGACATAGCACCTTCTGGAGGGGCCGTCTGGGCCGGATTCGGTCTTTCGAAATGTCAAAATGAAACCTTTGACAGATCCATCGCACGTTAAAAACTGCTCGTTAAAAACTAAAAACAGAACAAGCTGTGAATCTGAGATTCCCCAAAGAGCAGGGAGCATCTCAGGCCCTCCTGTCTGCCCCTTCTGGCGGGATGCTGGGCCGGGACGTGGGTGCCGGGGGTGGGACCCAGGCTGGAGCCTGTGGGGAGCTGTGGGTCATCTCTGCCCTGCCTGCGGCCTCCTCCAGCCCTCCCAGCGCCACCTCCCTGCCCATCCAGTCACAGGAAAACCCGGTATTCACAGTACAACATGAAAATAGCACCAGAAACTTCCGAGAACTGCGGGTGCACAGAGCCCAGGGCTGTGGGGAGGAGGGCTCCAGAGGGGCCGTGGGCCGGAGACCTGGCGGGGGAACGGTTCTTGCCTCGTTCCCTGGGAACCAAGTGCCCCAGAAGCATCGCAGTGTGGTCAGTGGCAGGCACGATCCTGTGGGCAGAGGGAGGAGGCCTGTGTGCTCTTGGGGACCAGGTGGCTCAGAAGTGGGCCTCGTGGAGAGCCCTGCCCTCCCCATGTGATTCCTAAGGGCACTTTGGAATTCCAGCAGCAGCAAGACTTAAAACGAAAGGCCATCATCGGGTGACTGACTGAACTTACTTCCCTGCTCGGTGATGGGACCCTGTGCAAATACTCAAACGAGGTCTATAGCATATGCCACTGTGCCAACAGGGCACACGGGCTGGGGAGGTGCATAAGCTGCTCTTTCTTCAAGTACTTGGTACCAAGAAAACAGCTGCATGGTCTCAAAGGGGCTGCAGCTGCCCTGTCCCTCACCCTCAGCCTTCTGACAAGAAAGGGACCTTCACCGGGCGGTCTGAATGTTGGTGGGGTGAGGCAGGTGGGCTGCCCCAAAGTGCACCACCTCAGGCACCGAGCAGCCCCAACAGGAGCCTTGCTGGGGTCCTGGCTGTGCTGGGCACTGCTCGTGTGTCACTCGGAAGTGTCCTTCTTTAGGGGGATCTTGAAGCTGGTCAGTCTCTGCCCAAAGAGCTGGCTGAGGAGGTCGCTCTGGGACTCTGCGGTCCGGTGGTCTCGGAGCTGGGCAGGCCTGGTGCTGGGGACAGACCTGCCCCTCCTCACCTGGGGGAAGGCCTTGCCCAGCTCCTCCCTCCGGAGGCCCGGGCCGGGGTCCCCCTTCCGAGTCTCCCAGGGCTGTGGCCTCGTCTTGCTGATCTGAGTGCTGGGCCTGGGCTTGGCAGGGAGCACCCGGCTGGGGGTGGCCTGCTTCCGGGGGGCCCGGGGAGGCCTGTCAGGGGCCGAGGGGGCTCTGCCTGCGCTCCCTGTGCCTTGCCGCCGGGCCGGGCCCGGGCCCGGGCCGTTTCTCCTCCTCTTGGTGCCCTCTACCTTTTCCTGGCAGCCGCTGCCTTGGGCTCGAGGTGGGGCCGGGTGTGGTGCGGGGCCCCGGCCTGGGCAGCGGGGCTTGGCGGGGGTGGTGGCAGTCTCGCTCTGCAGCCGCCCACTGGCCGGCTGGGGCTGGCTGCCCCCTGCGGTCTTGGTGCCAGGCCGCGCCGAGCCCCTGCCCTGGGAGCTGGGCCTCGGCCTGGCTTTGGGGGTGGTAGGCTTCGCCCTGTCTTCAGGGCCGTGGGCCAGCTCTCCGGGTGCTGGGCTCCCTATCTCTGCCGGCTTCCTTGGTTGCCCTGGCACCCTGCTGGGGGTGGTCGCCAATGGCTTGGGCTTTGACGCGCTCCGGCAACCCCCCAGCTTGGCACCGTCCTCGTGGGAGGGGCCCGCTGTGCGCCCCTCAGGCACCACATGGCAGGGTGACACCTGCTTCTCTTTGGGGAGCAGGGAGGGCTCTCCCGGGGACCCGTCCGGGGCGCACCTGCCACGGCCTCCGGGGGGCCCGCGTTTCCCTGAGCCCAGGCGGGGAGCCTGCTGTCTCCGAGGCCCAGGACTGCCTGCCGAAGCCTCGCCTTCCAGCCTCTCCAGGGCTCGGTCTAGCTCGCACCCCTCTCTGCCTTCAGCCTGGGCACTGGCGGGGGGAGACAGAGCTGGGGGTGGAAGGTCTGGGCCGGCCGGGGGTGCATCTGGCTGGCCGGCAGGATCCTCGCGCCTCTCCTGGGCCTGAGCGGTGCCGGGGGCCGCCTGTGGGCAGAGCCGGGGCAGGGCCGGGCTGCCCGGGGACACTGGCCGGCCAACCTGCGCCAGCCTGCGTCGTTTGAGGGGCAGCGCGCCCTCGGGAGCCCCGGGCCGCCGCACGCCGCGGAGCGCGCAGGGCCGCGGGCAGGCGCGCCGGTGCTTCTCGCGGTGCCGGTCCAGCTGTTCCCGGCGTGCGAAGGTATAGTTGCACGCGCTGCACGCGAAGGCCCTGCGGGTGACGCGCGCGACGTCGGCGCAGCGCTCGCAGGCGAACAGCGGCGTGGGCGCCACGTCACGCGCCTCGGGCCCCGCCCCGTGCGCGCTGCCCAGGTGCGCGCGCAGCTCTCGGTGCGCGGCGTAGACGCGGGGGCAGCGCGGGCACAGGTAGACGCGCTGCGGGCTGTGCACCGCCAGGTGGCGCTGCAGCTTGAAGGGTTTGGGGAAGCGCTTCCCGCAGTGGTGGCAGTCGCGGGACGGGTCTTTGCAGTCCGCGTGCACGGGTCCGCGGCAGAGCGGGGGCTCGCCGTGGGGCCGGGGCTCCCGGCTCGGGCTGGGGGTGGCGGGGCTGTCGCCGCCGGGCATGCTGGGCGGCGTCGGGGAGCCATGGAGGCTCCCAGAGAGAGGGCGCCCGGCCCCGTCCCCCGGGCCCCCCTCCCCATCCCCCCCACCGGCCCCGCCAGCCCCCCGTTGGTCTGTGGCTCGCTCCGCCGAGGCACCCTCGTCCCCGGAGCCCGCGGGCAGCTCGCCCAGAGCCCGTCGCGCCTGCCCCCTGCGCGCGAAGAGGGCAGCGTGCTCGCGCAGGTGCTGGTTGTACATCCAGACGTCTGGCACCTCCTTCAGGCACATGCCGCAGGCCCACGGCCCCATCTGGCCCTGGACGTGCTTCTCCTGCAGGTGCTCGCGCAGCAGCTGGCGCGAGCCGAACCTGCGCTCCACGCACATGTAGCAGGTGGGTGGTGGGGCCGCGCTGTGCGCCAAGCGGTGCAGGTCCAGCTCGCCCAGCCCGTGGAAGCGCCGGAAGCATACGCGGCACTTGAAGGAAGCACTCCTGCCAGGGACCAGCTGCTCTCTGCCACGAGCCTGGCACAGCCCTGCGGCCTCCTCCTGGACGTCCAAGGCGCTGGTGCTGGGGACGCTCACCAGGTCCTCCCAGGGTCTTGGGAAGCTCGGGTCCTGTGCCTGCAGCGTGGTCCCGACCATCTCCAAGTCTTCAGCAGTTCTGGGCAGCCCCTCCTCATAGCCCTCTCTCTCCAGGTTGGGGGGCTCTGGACTCACATCTCCTAGAGGAGAGGATGCCTCTTTTGGGGGCACCCGTAGCCCCAGGCCTTGCCAGGCTGCAGGCACCCTGTGCAGCTCAGGGATGGCTTCTACCTGATCGTCTGTAGTGCCACAGGGGGGTGCCTTGTCCACACAGCCGGCTTCCCTTCTGGGCTCCGGGGTCCATAACCCGAGGCCCGGGGTGCTGCTGCTCAGAGGCCCATCCAGCAGCCAGGCCTCGGGCAGCTCCATGGCCTCATTACCCAGCAGGTCCTCGCAGGAGAGGCAGAGGGAGCCTGAGTCGCTGAGATCCGTGGGCAGCCGGGCCAAGGAGAGAGGGTCGCCCCCAGGCTGGCTGAGTGGTTGGGTGGGTGGCAGGCACCGCGGTCTCCCACAGGGCTTCTGGTAGACTCGGGGGTTCTTCTTCCGGGCAAAGCGGCCACCGGGGGGGAAGAGCTGGGCAAAGGCCACATCGTCATCAAGCACACTCAGAGGGTCCCTGCAGCCTATGCTGGGGGCTTCAGGGTCCCCACCCTGGGCTTCAGGGGGGTCTTGCGGGCAGCTGAGGCTGGTTCTGCCAGCTTCAGAACTGGGCATCCCGGGAAGGTCCAGTGTCCCTGCTTTGACGCTGTCACCTGGGCTGCCATTGGGCCCTCCGAGGTCTGCAGCAGCCTCTCCCGCAGAGGCATGTGATGGGTCCTTGCCAGATGTCCTGGCCACTGTGGGTCCCCAGAGCCCCCCTGCCAGGGCTCCCTTCCACCCCTCCGGGAGTTCTCCAGGGGACGCCTCCTCTGCCCTCCCTGTGGGGCTCCTCCGACCACCAGGGGACTTCTGGGTGGCGGTGTTGCCTGCAGTGTCTCCCAGTGGCCCAGGCGCCCTGTCTGCCCCTTGCTGTCCCTCTGCTGAGCAGTGGGCAGCTGCCGTGTACGCCCTGGAGCGGCACCGCCCTGTGGGTGCAGAGGCTGAGCCGGGCGCTGTGTGCTCCCCCCGGGGCCTCCTGGCTCGGGTCTTTCCCACGTTCTCCTGTGGTTTCGGGGCTGTGGTACGACGGGAGTCCTGGGGCTCTCGGCTTCGCCTCTGTCCCTTTCTCTCTGTTTGTCTAGGGTGGAGCTTGCCCGCCTCCGGCAGGTGTGGTCTGGGCTCTGCCCCCTCCCCAGACTCCATCAGGCCCGGGGGATGCGGTTGCCGGTTAAGGGGGTGAGCTGGTGCCTTGGTGCCCCTTTCGGGCCCCTCCTCCGTCTCAGGACCCGGGGTGCCCTCAGGTGTCGTGGAGCCCTGTGGGGGAGCTGGCCCTGCAGGGTGGCTGGGGCGGATCAGAGCCTGACTTGGTCCCTCCTTGCCAGGCACCCTGTGGCTCCTTTTCCCAGGGGCCCTGAACCCCAGGGCGGCACAGCCGTCTGGCCGGTGCTTCCTGGCTTTGTGCCGGCTCAGGCCAGGCCCCGAGCGGAAGGAGGCTGAGCAGATATCGCAGGTGACGCAGGGGAGAGCTGGCCCAGCGGGGGCTTGGCCCTTCCTTCTCTCTGTGGGCTCCAGCTTCTTTTTCAAACCATAGGGTTCCTGTTTGGGGTCCTGGGGACTGAGAGAGTCCACATGGGGCATCTGGTGAGGGACCCCGGTGTGGCTTTGGGGAGAGTTGGACCCAGAGTCACCGGCTGTGTTGCTGGAAGAGGCAGCTGGGGGATGGTGGGCTGTGGTCAGGCCTTGGCCAGCTCCGGGCAGCTTTGTCACACTGGAGCACCGGGCCCTGTGTCCTCGTGTCCCTGCATCCTCCTGCCCCTCACTGACAGCCCCAGCCTCCGTTTCCAGGCAGGGGGAGGGGCCCGGCTGTGTGGGCCCCGCTGTGGTGGGGTCTGTGGGTGTGGCTGTGCTGCTGTCGCTGCCCCCGTGGCTCAGGCAGGGGGTGAGGCACGGGGGATGTGAGGAGGGGTCCCAGGACATGCTGGGGTCCGCCACCCGGAGCCCCCTGACTGCCTTCACGCCACATTCTGTAGGGACTGTCTCTGTGTTGTGTTCCTTGATGGTCCTTCTTGGGGACACGTGTGCTCCTGGACGAGATGGTGTGGCACTGGCCGGAGGGCTCCCCGGCCCTCTTCTGAACTCCACTAGGGTTCCTAATGTGCTGCTGCTGGGGCCATCCTGGCCCTGGCTGGGGGCTGGGATGTCACTGAGGCCCGGCCAGTCTTCGGGGCTGCTGGCCCCCAGGAGAGCAGGAGGTGGGAGGTCCTCAGGCCCACAGAGGCTTGTCCTCCAAGACGGACCTGCAGGGGGCCCTGTGGCCCTGGCACCTGCAGGGGCCTGGACCCACCTGGCCCCTCCCAGAGACATACAGGAAGGGTCTTCCTGGGGTGTGTGCTCCAGGCCGAAGGGGCTGGGGGTGACTACGGCTGTACAGGGGACCAGGTCCCCGGGGGGCGGTACCTGGCTGGTCACCTCCCCTGGAGTCCTGTCCTCAGGCCCCTGTTGGGCGTGGGCTGCCATTCCCAAGAGGCGCTGAGGGCTAGGGGCTGGCTGCACCTGCTCCTGAGGGCCCAAGGCCGTGCTGCCTCCCTGGGCCCTGGCTGAGGCCTTGGCTGGCCCGTGCCTTCTGGGAGGGGTGTTGGCCTTGGCACCACTGCCCCGTGCCCTCGGGCTCTTCCAGGCTCCAGGCAGGCAGTGGCTGACTTTGCCTTGGCCCCTGGGCTTCTTGGCCTGGTCAGGGGAGCCCAGATGTCCGTTCGCCTCCGACACCGTGGCGGTGGCTGTGTCCTGCACATGCCCAGGGGAGCCTCCTGTCACTCTGTCCCCTCCTAGACTGGGGGGTGCTCTGTGCCGAGGGCTTGGGGCCCCAGCAGGCAGAGGCCCCTGCAGGAGCTGGACGCAACCCTTGTCCTCAGCTCTGGTCCCCAGGACCCGGAGTGGACCTGAGGGGCTGGAGGCTGGGCCGGCAGGGCATCCAGGGGCCGATGGAGCCTCCTGGTGCTGGAGGGCAGATCCCTCTGCCAGGGCTCGAGGGGGCCCAGATTCCCTGGGAGCTGGGCCCTTGGAGGCGTGGCTGTGACCGGGATCTGAGGCCGGGGTGGCACCCAGAGATGCCTCCCCACTGCCCCGAAACACCTGACCCGGCGCTGGGGGTGCTGTGCGGCCTGGACAGGGCCCTTCTGCCCCTTGGGGTTCTGGCGGCCGCGCTCTGTTCTGCTCCCAGGGAAGCTGTGGCAGCGGGGAGCCCTCGCTCGCCCGAGTCCTGATCCACTCATCACTTCTAGGAGATAAAAGGTCACGGTTTGGGCTGCGCTCTGCCAGGCCCCCAGCCTCCAGCAGGGCCTTGGGTCCCTCGGTGGGTTCAGGCCGACACTCGCCCGAGGGCGCCCCAGGGTCTTCTGTGGCCTTGCAGCCTTGGCTCTTCTGAGCTGTCAGAGCCCGAAGGCTGCACCCCATGGGCCCAGAAGGAGCCCCAGAAGCCAGGTCTCTGGGGGGGCCCGGGCTTGGGGCCGCTTTTCCTGGGCAGCATGTGGCTGGGCAGGGCTGGTCCCCCTGGGAGCTCTGGAGCGCCCCTTTCCTGGGGGGCATGGCTGTTCCCGCGTCTTCCTGCTCTGGACGTGTCTCCCCAGGACCTGGAAGGTGGGCTGCACCGCTGTGGGACAGGGCAGCCTGGCGGGCAGGCGTCAGGGAGGCTGCACGTGCAGCTTCGCTGGGGTCCTCGGGGGCTTCCTGGGTGGCCCCCCTCCTTTGCAGTTGGCTCTCTAATTCGGAGACCAATCTTTTGATTTCCAGCTCATCCTCGGACAGGTTGCTCATAAAAGCTGCAGTGTGTCCGTTTCTCTTCCCAGGCACAGGTGCAGGGCTGGGGGAGCCCATCTCTGCATGGGGACATTTCTTGTGGAATGCCTTTGGCACTGAGAGGTCAGGAAACTGGCTGGACAGTGTTGGGGACACTTCCTCCAGGAGCAGAAATGGGGGGAACAGTGGCTCTATCAGAGGTTTCCTTGGGAGAGGGTCAGCACAGGCCAGCGGCTCGGGGGTGGCCCTGTGTGGTGACAGGCTGTCGTAGAGTGGTGGTGGGTCGAAGCCGTCCTCGGGCAGCCCTGCAAAGAGGGTCATGGACTCCAAGCTCAGTGGCGACTGGGCTCTGCCTGGGTCAGTTTCAGCCGTGTAGGGCGGATTCTTTGGTGGTTTGGGCTTGAGGGCGTCCACATGGTCCTGGCCAAGGTAGCAGCTGCTGGCTGGCGGAGTGTCCACCGCTGGGTCCTTGGGCCTGAGGAACAGTTCACTGGGGGCACTGCTGCTGGGCTGGGGCCCCTTTTTGGCAGCAGGAACCCCCACGGAGTCTCTGTTAAAGTGAGCAGGCTTGCAACCAAGATCAGAGTTCTTAAAAAATGGGGTGCTGTGCTCAGGATAGGCCGCCCTGGTGGGACTAGCAACGGGCATCTGGAAGCCTCTGGGCTGGTGAGCAGGGGCATCTTCTCTGTCATGCAGAGCGCCCCCCGCTGGCCTTGGCAGCACATTGGGGTGGCTCCCCGAGGGTGGGTGTCTGCTGGTGCCAGCTCTGCCGGGCGGTGGGGGCTCTGGAGTGGGGGGCTTGGGGCAGCCACTCTCCCCGGTGGGCACCTCTCTGAGCTTTGTGGGGCTGGCAGCCTCGGGTTTTGGGGCTGCTTGGCAGAGGCCCAGGGACGGGTGGCTTTCCCCTGGGGTTGTGGTGTCCGTGGGGACCTGCGGGGAGTTACACCTGGGGTCTCCGTCCGGGCTGTGGGCTGGGCTGGGCAGCTGCCCTGGGGCTGGAGAGCCCCTGGACTCAGCAGACCCCGGCTTCTCTGCCTTGCTGGGGCCCCGGCCCAGGCCCTCTTCCTTCATCTTCTTGCCCAGGCACCGCTGCTGGTGGTCTTGGTGAGAGCGGCCGCTGAGGCCAGGCGCCCCTGGCCTGGGACTCTCCTCCTCAGACTCGGAGGCGTGGTCACTGGCCCCTGGCCTGCCTTGTGGGGCCTTCGAGGGTGCCCGCGGTCTGTGGAGTCTGTTCTTCTGCAGCACAATCTTGTGTATGAGCTCTTTGCTCCAGCTGCCACCCCGCTGTGTCCTCCGCTTCCTGGGGTCCTTCCTGGGGGGCAGTCTCAGGCGCTTGGTGATCCCGGTGTCTGCAGAGAGGAGGGCCCCGGGGCCTCGCTGGTGGGAACCCATGTGGCCCTTCGCCTGGGTTCTAAGGTCCCGGGGATAGGGTGGGGGCTGCTGGGTACCGTGGCCCCTCCTCCCCGGCCTCGGGCAGAGAGCCCTGCCAGGTCCCTTGGTGCTGTGGGCTGCATCCAGCCCTTTCCAGAACACCTTGAGCTGCTTCCCTCTCCGTGGCTGCCTCCCCAGGCTGGGCTCAGTGGCCTCTGTGGGTGCTGGGCCCAGTGAGGGGGTGGTGGGCCTGTTCCCAGCTGGACGGGCCCTGTCCCCAAGGTAGGGGCCTTGGGGCTGCGGTGTGGCCTCTCCAGCAGGGGGCAGGGGCTGGGCATGATACTCCGGGGTGGCACCTGCTGGGGAGTTGAGGGCCTGACCAGTGCCAGGACCCCTGGGGCCCGGAGGGTCCTCGTCGGCGAAGACGTCTATGAAGCTGCTGTCGATCTCGGGGCTGTCCGACGGGTCCTGCATGCCATTGAGGGCCTCAGTGATGAGGCTGTCCAGCTTGGCATTGTCTTCCAGGTCCAGGTCTGAGGTGGGCAGCGGGAAGGGTGGGGCAGCCAGGCTGGGCAGGAAGCTCGTGCGTAGGGCGTCGTCATCTTTGCTCTCTGCCTGCAGGTCCCCGGCCAGCAGGAAAGGGATGGTCTGGCCATGGCCCAGCAAGCCTGGGTGTGTGGGGGCCGGCACCTTGGGGGTAGCAGTGGGTGCCAGGTGTCCCTGGGGCCCGTGCCGGGCCAGCAGCAGGCTGCAGAACTGCCGGTGCTCGAGGAAGGCAGCCAGGCTGCTGTAGTTGCGGTCGCACTGCCTGCAGGTCAGCAGCACGTCCAGCTGGTCCAGGCTGGCACTGCTCAGCGGGAAGTGGTGGGTGGCATAGGCAGCAGGGCCCCGGGGGAAGCCCCGAAGCCTGTCCCTGCCCGCCCCACGGCCCTCGCTGCCCAGGAACTCGAGGGCACCCTCAGGCCCCAGCCCATCTGAGGGGAGTGGGAAGTGGGCTGGGCGGGTGTTGGGGAGTTCTGGGGGCGGGAAGGGGCTCCCAGGCTCCTGAGGGCGGGGGGCCGGGAGGAAGAAGCCCGAAGGCCCCAGGGGAGCGGGGAGCTGGCTGTCCTCAGAGCTGGGGTTGGCCGGGCTGCTGGACAGTGGGGACAGGGAGGAGCAGGTGCTGCTGCTGGCCGTGTTGGTGGCAGGAGAGGGCAGGGGGGACTCGCTGGGAGAGACCCCTACCACCCTGGGCGGGGGCAGGGCTGGGGCCCCTCGGGGTGACGCCTGGGGCTGGGTGCCCCCGAAGAGCAGAGCCTGGGGCCCAGGGCCCTTCATCCCGCTGTAGGGGAGCAGCCCCGGGGAGCTCCCTGGCTGGCCTGGGCTGCTTCTCAGGGCTACCACTGTCTCCCCAGGGCCGGGTGCCTGGCTGGCAGCACCCAGAGCCCCCTGGCTGCCCTCCTGCCACTCGGTGGTCCCCCTGGGGAATGGCAGCTGCCTCAGCACTTCCAGCTGACCACGGCTTGGCCCAGGGCTGGGGAGCGCTGAGGGCCATGGCACTGTGGGACTCTGGGGCAGGCAGAGTCCCTGGCTGGGGCTATCAAAGAATGCAGCACGAGGGGTGGGCGGGGCGCACAGGGTAGGCTCAGGGTAGGCGGCTGCTGTGGGGTCCCACAGCTGAGGCAGCCTAGCAGGCAGGGGTCTGGGGGTGGCCAGCGTGGCGTCCCCAGGCCCTGGGCTGCTGCCCACCCCACTGGCTCTATACGTCTGTCCTAGAAAGTGCCTCTGAGACCCAGGGTTTGGGGGTGCCCTGGGGCTCCCTAGCCTCTCATGGCCTGAAGGGGGTCCTTCGGGGAGGACTTCGGCCAGGCTCCTGTGCAAACTGTCAGAGAAGGGTCTCGGAGCCAGGGGATCAGCACCAGGTGGGGAGAGGGCCTGGGCACAGTCGCCAGGGGCCTTGAGGCCACCTGGATGACTGGGGTAGCAGGGCAGGGGCGAGGGCATGGGGGGCAGTCGGTAGGCAGGGCCGGTGCCCACAGTCACCTCTGGCCACCCTCCCGGGGGCTGGTGGAGGGAAAAGGCCAGGGCTCCACTGGCATAGGCCTGTCCGACTGGGTCTTCATGAGGGGGCTGTGCCCGGAGGGGGTACGGGAAGGGGCTCCCCCGGGGGCTGCCAGGCCTGCTGCCCTCAGGAAAGGGCTCCGACTTGGAGGGGAGGCGCCCAAAATTAGCACCTGGGAAGTTGTCTTCAGCAGCAGGTGGCCAAGGGCTAGCCCCATTGGCCTGCAGCTCTGGGGGCGAGGCCAGTGTTGGGGGGCTGCTCGGCGGGGCCCGAGGGGGTCCTGGGGTGGCACTTGGTGAGGTATGGTTGCTAGAGGTAAAGCTGGAGGGGGCCTCCTGGAAGCACCTTTTTGAGCTGAGCTCTCCGAGGGTGGGCAGGATGTCGGCCCCAGGGAGGCTGGGCCCTCGGCAGGCTTCTGCCTGGGAGTCCTGGGGCTTGAGTGGCCGGCCCTTGGGGGTCTTGTCCAGGGTGGGCTTGGCCCTTGGGCTGGCAATTCCCAGGCCATAGAGCTGTGGGGGGCTGCTGTCCACCCTGCCTGCCAGCCACCCCTGTTCCCCTGGGTGGCTCCTTGAAGGTGGGGTGTCGGGGCCACCCCCCTTCCCCAGGGGGCCACGGAGAGGCCGGGGCCTCAGGAGCTCAGCCTGGGGCTCCACCTCCAGGGCCTGCCCCAGCTGGGCTGTGGGGGGCTCCCTGGCCAGAGCTCGGCTGCCTGCCCCCCTTGTGCCCTGGGCTGTCCTGCTGCTGGGAGGCTGGTCCTTGTGAGGCGGCTGGGAGGGGGGCCGCAGGCCCCTGGCACCTGGGCAGGGATGCAGATCTCTGGTGTTGCCGGGGGGCGGTGCTCCTCGGGGCTGCTCGCCCGGCATGGCCCCAGGTCCTGGGTGCTAGCAGGAGGCGGCAGTCCAAGGGGGGCTGTGGGGCGTGGGCTGGGTGGCCATCCTCACCCCTCGGGGGGCCCTGGGGAGGCCTGCACTCATGGTCCTGGGTGGAGCCTGCAAGGAAAGGGTGGAGTGAGCGGGGTGGAAGGATGCAGTGGCCGTCACAGAGGCACTGGCTCCTCCGCAGACTTTGGGGATGTAGGAGAGAAGGGGGTGGGAAGGAGAGGTCTGGGGTCTGGGAGACCACTTCCCCCGCCAGCACGGTGACTGCTGGCTGCCGCCCTGAGCTGGGAGCCCAGCACCTGCACCTCAGCCTTGGGTCACACAGGGTGGGGAGCCCCAGCCTCAAGAAGCTGCTGGTGCCCTTGGGGGCCTCTGAGCGGGGTTCTGGTCCTGGGACTCTGGGGTCTGTTCTGTTCCCAGGATCCCAGCTGGGCCTCCTCTGGGCCAAGCCCTGGCCAGGCTGCGTTTCTGGAGTCTGTGCCGAGGATGGGGCCCGGCCGTGTGGCCTGTGTCTCCCTGCAGCTCTGTCCTCTTCTGATGCTCAGGAGGGGCGGTCACAGGACTCTCTTGGCCATCCCTCTTGACTGGTCATCTCCCCAGGACCGGCTGCACCCCATCTCCCGTGTCCTCCGTGTGGACTGAGCCACGACCCCGAGCACAGGTGCTGGGTGGCCACCGGTCCCAGGGAGGCTGAGACAGGTGGATTCCCGGTTCAGAGAAGCACAGTGACTTGCTGAGGCCATGCAGTGGCAGACCAGGGCCTTGAGCTCCCAGGGAGACCAAGGCTGCTGAGACCCGGCCTGCATCTGGGCATCTGCCTGGAGACCTGGGTGCCCACCGGGGGGGGGTGCTCTGTTAGGGCCCTAAGTCTCTGGTGGGTGGGGTCCTGGAGGGCCCAGCAGAGGGCCCACTGCCCCATCACAGTGGCCCGGAGCTGTCCCGGGTGGGGGTGCTGCTCCCTGCCCCTTCTGAGGACCCCTCCTGTCCGCCTGAGGTCGTTTCCCTTCCCTTCCCCATCAGCGCCAGGGTGGGGACCTGGAGTCCAGGGGGAGGGACTTGGGAGTGGGGTTTGTTGACTGAATAAGTGGTATTGCCGAGGGCATGCAGCGGGCGGCCAGAGCCTCTGAGCACTTCCTGGTGAGACTTCCCTTGCCCCCCTAGTGGCTTGCAAGGGTGGGACTGTCACTGTCAACTCGTGGGTGACCGCCACCTAGGCCGTCACCCTTGGCCAGGCGGCTGAAGAGGGTCTTAGAGGAGGAGGGGCACCGCAGCAAGCTCTGAAGGAGCTGTGAGGGTGGAGGGCAGCAGGGCACAGGGACATAGGTGGCAGCCCCGATACCAGGGAGCCTTGGGGACAGGCATCTCTGCCCGAGTCTCCTCCCACATACCTGGGCTGCCAGGGCCTCAGCAGGGTCACCGCGGGACTGCCCGGGAACAGGGCTGCATGGCTGCAAGGGAGAGGAGAGCGAGTCAGGGCCCGGGGACCCTGCCAGCACCCCCACCCCGGGCCCAGGAGCCCCTGTGGCGATGGCGGAGCCCAGAAGGGCAGCAGGCTGGGCTGCAGTTGCCCTTTGCTGGCCGCGGGCTCGCTGTGCACTGCGCTTCCCCACTCAGTCACGTGGCTGGAAGGCGGGCGGTGGGGAGCACCTGCCCGGTCACACCCCCAGCTGCCCGACTGTGCACCTCCCTCCTTCCTGTCTGCCAGTCCCACCCGGGCGCTTGCTGGGGCTGGGCTCGGCCTGGAGTTTGCTTGCGCCGCGAACAGGCTGCTGCCCCACCCCCAGCCCACCCACCCTTGAGAGTTCTGGAGTGCTGCGGGGCGGGCGGCGTGGAGAAGTTGCCCTGTGGTGCTGTTTGCACAGGCCAGGCCCGGCAGCCCCTGCCGGGGCAGAGCATGGGGTGGGGCAGAGAGGGCTCTGCAGTGCCCCCTCACTCTCTGCTGGGCCGTGCACGGGGGGATGCCTGTGGCATGCTGAGGGGTCACTTGAGGGCCTGAGCGGCCTCCGCGAACCCCCCAGAGGCACTGCAGCCCCTGCCCATCCACAGACCACAGCTGGGCTGCTGCCCATGATGCCACCCCTCACCACAGAGACCCCATGGCACAGGCCACTCAGCCTTCCAGGGCCAGGCAGCCTGGGCCCGGGGCTCCAGTGCACACATGCCGAGTCAACACCGGTGTCAGGCATGCTGCTGGGCACTGGGCAGGCGCAGCGTGTGACTCATGGCCTCCAGCTCAGTAGTGGGTGAGTTGGCTGAGGGCAGGCTCAGAGAGGGCTGTGACTTGGCCAGGGCTGCACAGCCCGGCAGCTGTGCCTGAGGCTGCCCGCCTGACCCATGCCTGGCAGACAGTCGTCCATGGGACCCGCCCTGGCTGGTCTGGGTCCCTCGGGTGCTGGTCCTGGGTGCAGGCCAGGTTTGCTGCACCCTGGGCTCCCCTGTGGGCTGCTGTTCCCCATCCAGGGGTGCAGAGGCTGTGGAAGCAGTGTGGGGATGGCGTTCAGCCTGGTCTCAGGTTCTGGCCCCTACCTGGTGCTTGGCAAAGCCCCTTGGTGCCTGCTGCTGGGCCCTTGTGTGTTCCTGAAGCCCAGGCCCTTTGAAGTGGGGAGATCCAATCCCCAGATCCCAGCCACCCAAGGAAGGGGCAGGAGTGGCTCCTTTGCTCAAAAACAGTAAGTAGCCCCCTCGGGTGGGGTGAGCCCTGGGTAACTCAAGACCCTGAGGGCGGGGCACCCAGCAGTGGGGCTGAGCCTGCAGGCCTGGCTCCTTACCGCCTTCGCGGCCCACCCCTTCTGTGGGGTCCGCCTGGCCCTCCAGCTGGCCTCCTTTGGCCCCTCTTCTGGGGCACCCTCTGGCCAGGGCGGCTCCCTGCCTGCACAGGGGTGGGGGGGGGTGGGGGTGGTGTCATGGCCCTGCTGGGACGGCCTCGTGCGGTGGCTGGAGCCTGGCATTTCACACAGACCAGCACCCAGAGGTGACCGAAGTCCGCTCAGAAGGGGCCACCTTGGGGTTGGGCATGAGGCCCAGCGTCCCCCAGCCCTGCCCATCAGCATGACTGGGCACAGAGCAGGGCTCCGGTGGTTGGTGGGAAGCGCTGGGCCAGCCCCATCGCAGGCCTGACCGCTTGTCCTCCTGCGCTCCTCAGCTGCTCCCCGTCCTGAGCCCCACAGCCACGGTCAGGTGGGGGAGCTGAGGCACAGAGCGGTACTCCGAGGCCAGGCTGTGTGTGCTGGGAGAGGTGGGCTTGGGTGTGGCCGGACTGGCCCTGCTCCCTGCCTGGCCGCTTCCCCTGGGTGGCGGGTGTCACAGGCAGGGAGTGAGCCGGGTCTGGGGGAAAGTGGCCTGGCCTTGGGGGGCGTCCCAGGGCCCATGCTCGGGGCTCCTGGCTGGGAGATGGAGGCTGGGGAGGCTCAGGCCAGCGGAGTGACAGAGTCCTGCAGTCAGGGTCTCAGGAGCGGCAGAGGACCAGGGATGTCGTCATCTGTGGGCCCCCGGCCTATGCCCCGACCTGGATGCCGTGCCGGAGCCAAGATGGAAACCAAGGCTCAGAGCCGTGCCTGGCCTGGTGGAGGTCACACTGCAAGTCGGAGGCAGGGCCGACCGCCGCGGGGTGCTCCGGGCGTCTGTCGAGCCGGCCCTGCATGCGCTGCCAGTTCCCTTCCCAGCCGGAGCCCCGAGCCCGCCCTTCACCTCCGCACTGGCCACGTCTCCTGGGTTGAGGCTGGAGCAGGTAGTGCCTCTCCGCACCTGTGACGAGCTGGCATCAGCCCTGCGGGCCCAGCCTGGCATCCCTCTGCCCAGCACTGGCCCTGGCTCGCTCATGTGTGGCTGCAGGAGACAGACACACACTTCGTCTGCTCCCGACATTCACTCCACAAACAGCCTGCTTTCCTCTTCCTTCAAACGCTGCCGCTTTCTTAAAAGTTCCGATACCCAAGCAAGTGAGGCCTCCGATAAACCCCTGCAGGTAAAGTTACATCCGATATGGCCAGAGGGCGCATTTAAGAGCAAAGCTCCAGTTATCAGCTGCATTTATCTTAATTACTTGGGCTGAGTCCAGGCTGCATTGAGGGGCAGGAGCAGGTATTGGTCCCGCCTTATCGGGGTTCGCATTTGAGATCCCTTAACAGGAGGGAGATAAGCGGGGGTGGGGTGGTGGCATTGTCCAGGTGACAAGGAGGGGGCGCAGGGAGGGCAAGGCCTCCAGTTCCAGCCCAGATGGCCGGGGGCTGACAGGGGCGACAGGGAAGGTGCCGGCTTCAGGGCTGGCATTCAGGGGTGGGACAGTGCTGCTGATGGATGACCTTTGTCCCCCAGACACAGGGCCACCGAGGAGCCCCTGGCGGGGTCAGTGTCGAAGCCTGGTGCCCTCGACCTTGTGGGAGAGGCCGTTACCGTCCATCCACTGGACACTCCCACGGTGTCCCCTGCCAAGCGAGCCTGGTGTGGACGCTTGAGGCCGGGACGGGGTTGGCAGGGCTGGGCCCGGAGGAGGAACCAAGGTGTTGTGCCTGGGGAGGAGCTGGGGTCCCTGCTGCCTGGGACCCCAGAGGGCAGTGGGCTCGGCCATGTGCACCGAGCCTGTTGGCCCCTGTCAGCCCCACCCCCGCCTGGGTGCCCTGGCCAGCTCGACACCCCTCTCAGGAGGTGGGGGCCCTGTGGCCGAGGTGGAGGGCCTTGGGCATGTGGGTGCCGGCCGGAGCCCCATGTGCCGGACCCAGGAAGGGCACCACTGTGTGCCAGCTGTGTGCGGGCTGTGAGTATGGAGGAGGGGCTGGCTGCATGCGGGCTGCAGGGGCCCCGCTCCAGGACGTGGGGCTCAGCTGTGCAGATGAAGACCCTGAGGCTCAGGGTGCGGTGTGGACTTGCAGGAGCTTGGGGTCCACTCTGCCTGGCTCTGGGATGAGCTGACCATGTCCTCTGTCCCCGGGTGTTCTGGCTGCTCCTGCCAGCTCCCCTCTGTTCCCCTTTGTTCAGGGAAGCAGCTGAGGCTGAGAGGGAGAGGGCCCTTCCAAGGGCCCGGACGCAGAGGGTCTGGAGTCCCAGGGCCGACTGTTGTCTTTCCTGGCTGGGCAGGGCCTTGCTATGCTCACTGGCATGTGGCCTTGTCAGTCCCGGGGAGCTGGACTCTCGGGCGGCAGGGCTACCTTCAGCCACGCTGCTCTCTTGAGTGGGCTGACCTGCGCCTCTGAGCCGCTCTGCTGGTGCTGTCCCAGTGGGCGGGGAGCCCACCTGAGGGCCGGCGGGGCAGTGCTGGCCACCGGGTGGGGTTGCCTGGCTGGTGGCCTCTGGCCGCAGTGGACTGGAGTGCGGTTGGGGCGGGGGTGCCCTCCTCAGGGCCGTCCTGGGCTGGCCTGTTCCAGGCAGGAGACCACCATCCGGAAGGGACAAGGCCATGCAGGTCCTTGCTGGCCTTCCCGTTGGCCTTGGGTCCTCCCCGTCATGACCCTCAATGGTGCTGCTCCCCGGCCAGGCCTGTGCCCTTCTGTCCCCACCCAGGTGGCCTCTTCTGGAGCGGAGGCGTCAGGCGCTATGTTCCCTTGCTGCCGTTCCCCCAGGGACCCAGAGGGCTAGGGGTGCTGACCCTGCAGCCTCCAGCTTTTCTGACTTGCCATGGCTCCTTCTCTGCTCCTCCAGCTTCATCTGCCCGGAGGCTCAGGCCACCCTCTCTTCCAGCCCCTTCTTGGTCTGCATCTTTCCTCCCTGGCACTGACTGTACAAGCTCAGCCCTGGCTGGCTGGGCTCCCTCCCGCTGTCCCCAGCTTCCTGAACCTCCGAGCCAGGCTGCAGGTGGACAAAGCCACTGCCCCTGGACTTGGCCACATCCTTGCCCGAGGCCTGGGCCAGCAGGACAGGGCTGGGGGTCACGGCATCCGCTCCTGGCCCTGAGCGTCCTCCTCATGGGGAACGGCAGGGCTTCGGCTGCAGTTTAACCCTGCACAGCTGCTGTGCGACCCAGGGCCCCCCCGGCCACCATGGACTCTGCTGCCGGGAGCCATAGAGGGGGCTGTGGGTGGCAGTGGGGCTGGGTCTGTGTGTCCTGCAAGTGCCACCTGCCCGGGCCACCGCATCTCCCCAGTGCTACTCCTCCCGCTCCTTCCTCCAGATGCACCTGGGTGCCCGCTGCTGGCTGAACTTCCTACTCCTGTTGGTTTTGTGCATGCTGTGTCCTCTGTGGCAGGGCTGGGCCGGACACAGGGAGGGAGTGTGGAGATGCTCCGCCCACCACGGTGCCCCCGCCTGCTGCCCCAAGTGGTCTGGTGTCCTGAGCACTGCCCTCTCGTGAGGTCCCCGCCTGCTGTGCCACATGCTGTGCGACATGCGGCCCTGCGATGGGGCCTTGGGAGCTTGAGCACAGGGCCAGCCTTTCTGACTCTTCAGGACAAGCCAGAAACCCAGGGTTCAAAGTGAAATCTCCCCATTTTTAAACCTTGGCAACCAATTCCTGTGA